GAATGTAAAATAATCAACCGTGGCACACAGTAAGAGGTTTTATTTTAGGACAGCGAGTGAACGGGCGTATTTTAGGGGTAGTTTGCTCACCTACCATCTGAGATCACTGTGCCTTAGTGAGAAAGTGTCCTCAGACTCCAGTTGAATGGGGCGGGGGACGCTGAAAGTAGTCATTTCAGCTAAATCTCTAGTTACCCGGTTTTCCTGAAATAGCTTAAACTGAAGCGATTTTTCGTTTTGGAGACTTTATGGCTCATTTAATTTTGGCTGCTGTTTGGAAAAGGTGGGCTGTCTGTGTAGATACAGGGTATGGTTTGTCCATAAAGCAGGTGTTTATTGTGTTTTAAAAATGCGAATGAATTGTTTCTCTCCACCTGTACACACGAGGTGAGATTTATGTTGAACTGTAACATTCAGGGATTCCCTGTAGCCACCCGGTGGACTCGAACATGGCCAGCCAGAAGAGGCACAACCAGATCTGGGGTGGAAAGAAAGCGATTCTGAGTCTTCCCCACTCACAGACCCTTGATGGGAACCAAACTTGCGAGGAAATCTCTGCAGTTTCATTTGCCAGGTGCCCCCTGGATGTGGCCTGGGAGCTGTGAGGCCGCCCAGAGCAAATGGGTGTCCTGTCCTGCGTGTCACTCACCTGGCCCTCAGCAAGAGGCCCATGTGAAACCTCAGCTGGACGTTCCAGCAGAACCAACGCACAGAGAGAAAGTCCCCGTAAAACCTGCAGTCACCTCCAGTGACCAGGGAGCAGAGGTGGAGCAGCCGAGCACACCCACCTGGGCCAGGCCAGACTTTTCCGCCACCCGGACGTGTGGCCGCCTTGCCGAGGTTGGCTTTGCTTCATGTGGGTGTCTGGTGCTGTGCAGTCAGTGAGGATTTGTGGGCAGGTTTCACAGCCCCCCAGCTACTGGACTGAGGCAGCTGCCAGTCCTCCCCTCAACCCGGAGCTCACGCATGACACTACCTGTCTATTCGTTCGAAGACACCGTGCCAACGAGAAGAAAGGCCCTCACAAAGAGGGAGCGGGTTCCCATGCGCCTGCCTTGCTGTAAATGGTTGAGCCCCAGCTTTACCAATCCTCACAGCAGCTGCAGGGGACAGGGGACAGGGGACAGGGCACAGGCATCCCTGCTGTTCTGTTTCCAGGGAGGAAACGGGGGTGCCGAGGGCCACGTGGTGTGGAGCTGCGGAGCTGACAGGCATGTGCGCCCGGACCTTGGCTGTGCTGCCGTCAGGAAAAACGGCAAAAGGCTTCGGAGCTGTTGCACACACGCTCTTCTTGGTTATCTGTTTCTATGGGGTCTCCTGGGGTTTCATCTTTCCAACTTGGTAAGATGCACGCAACCGACAACAGTGCAAGCAAGGCAGACGCGCAAACGAGGCCGGTCCGTGAAGGGCGACGGATTCTCGCTGGCCCCCACGCCAGTTCTGCTTCTCTCTGTAACTCTGCCTCAGCGCCCTGATCGCCCGTGTCTGTGCGGACTCTGAAGTCTCCTTTGAGCAGCTGGAACATCTTACTAGTCTTCAGGTTCACTAGAGCCACATACAATCTGACACATGTCCATCTCCTATTTGTGTGACAAACGATGTCACTTTTTTTTTAAGAGATTGTCATCTAATACCGCTGCTGCTAAGTGCCAGGTGCCAACCAAGTGCTGGGGACTGGAAAACAGACAGCACAGCCCCGCTCTTTGGGAGTTCACTTCTCATGGGGGAGACAGGTCTACAGCTGACCTTGGGGCTAAAGCAGGCTCCCAACAGCCGGGGCGACACTTGCGATCCTGACCAACCATATGTCAGATACTCTGGAAGTCACTGACAGATTCAGCTAACATAAAAACAGACAGCCGGGCGCGGTGGCTCACGCCTGTAATCCCGGCACTTTGGGAGGCCGAGGCGCGCGGATCACGAGGTCAGGAGATGGAGGCCATCCTGGCTAACACGGTGAAACCCCATCTCTACTAAAAATACAAAAAATTAGCCGGGCGTGGTGGCGGGCGCCTGTGGTCCCAGCTACTCGGGAGGCTGAGGCAGGAGAATGGCAGGAACCCGGGAGGCGGAGCTTGCAGTGAGCTGAGATCGCGCCACTGCACTCCAACCTGGGCAACAGAGTGAGACTCCACTTCAAAAAAAAAAAAAGGGGTCAAAAAACTTAGGCACGCATAGGGATTCTTCCCAAATGTGAATGCCGAACGCTCCCACAGGACAGTGAGTGGTGCTGCTGCGGGGATCCCACAGACACCCCACAGATGACAATTCTTTAAGTTTGGGTTTACGCAGCTGGGAACCTGTGACTCGGGAGAAGAGTCCAAAGACACAAGTGCAGAAGGGGCTGTGCTTTGGGCCACTTGGCGAAGTGAGGGTGGGGTATCGGACCCCTTTTACATCTACATCCCTACAAGTTCACACAGGAAGACGAACCAAAGCCAAACAAAACCCTTCTTGGAATCTCACCATTCAGGAAGCGGAGGGGCACTGGGCTGCCCTCCCCGCGCGCATTCTGAAATCGCAAGGGATGGCAGGTGGGGTGGACAGAGGCCTGGAAAAGCGGTGGGAACGCACAAAGGGAGGCATTGACTCGCTCCGGGAGGCAGGGGAGCAGGAGGAAAGGGGACAGAGCTGTCAGGCGTGGGTGCTGTGGGCGGGGGCACCACGCTGGGGCCTGCAATGGGGCACTGGGGCCTGGTCACTACAAGTCTCGTCCACACACACGGGAAGCTTGGAACTTACCCCAAAATCAACTGGGGAGGAATCAGAGGAGCTTTGAGGCAGGAGAAAGACACTTGAGATCTGTGCTTCTCAAATATGGCTCAGGCCCAACATGGGGAAGCCGACACCGGGGAGCCCTGGGGTCAGGTGGGGAGGGCGGGGGACCGTGAAGCACACGGAGGCGGCGGAAGCAGTCGGAAAACAGGAACCCTTGACCAGGGCAGCACCACAGGCAGAGCAGGTCGGGGAACGGCTCTTCCGACAGGCAGACGGGTGGCTGCCGAGCACAGGCAAGAACAGAACCCTGAGGTCAGGAGAGCCGAGAGTGCAGCGGAGGAGCGCAAGCAGCCAGACGTACAGCTTAGAACCGGGCAGCAGAGAGTCACACCCAGGGCCTGGGACCACTGTGCTCAGGAAGCCCGGTCCGCCAAGCTGGCCCGGAGCTGGGGCTGGGAATGTGAACTGCAAACGGTTCCCTACACGGATATAAAATGCTTCTGCATGACCACCAGGCAGAGTGGTGGATGCTGTAATCCCAGCCCAGCACTTTGGGAGGCTGAGGTGGAAGCCCAGGAGTTTGAGACCAGCCTGGGTGACAGAGCAAGACCCTATCTTTATTTTATTTAAAAAAAAACAACAAAAACTCTGGAGGCTGGGCACTGTGGCCCATGCCTGTAATCCCAGCCCTTTGGGAGGCTGCAGAGGGCAGATGGCTTGAGGTCAGGAGTTCAAGACCCGCCTGGCCAACACAGTGAAACCTCTGTTGCTATTAAAAATACAAAAATTAGCCAGGTGTGGTGGCGGGTGCCTGTAATTCCAGCTACTCGGGAGGCTGAGGCAGGAGAATCGTGTGAACCCAGGAGGCGATGACTGCAGTGAGCCGAGATGGTGCCACTGAACTCCAGCCTGGGTGATAGAGTGAGACTCCATCAAAAACAAGAAGAACACATTAAAAAAAAAAAAGCTGTGCCCCAACTGTGTGTGCCTGAACAAGATGCCTCATGCTCCTGACGGTGAATTCAACGGTCACCTTGACTGGGCACGGGATCGGGATGCCCTGACAGCTGGCAACCCATGACTTCCGGGCATGCCTGTGAGGGTGCTTCTGGAATAATAAGCAGACAGCCCTCCCTGAAGTAGACGGGCATCGTCCAGGCCCCTGGGGGCGTGAAGAGAACAAGAAAGAGGAAGAAGGCTGTGTTTCCCTGACTACCGAGCTATCCACTTTCTGGCTCCCTTGCTCCTGGCTCTGAGGCCTTCAGACCCGGACTGGAATCAACCTCATCAGCTCCTGGCTCTCAGGCCTTCAAGCTGCGCCACTGGCTCTCCTGGGCCTCTAGCCTGCAGATGGTGGACTGTAGGATTTCTCAGCCTCTGTAATCCCATGAACCAGTATCTTACAATAAATCTCTTCACACACACACACACACACACACACACACACACGCACGCTCCTGGTTCTATTTCTCAGGAGAACCCTGACCAATGCGATGCTGAACAGCTGCTTTCCGCTGGGAGTCTGGAATCTCGGTTCGTGTGCAGCCTGCAGGACCAGCCCTTGACAAAAACCCTGAGTTGTCACAATTCATTGCTGGAGGAACTGGGAGAGGGCCCTTGGGAGCTCGTGACTGGTTTCTTCCGGAATTTTCCCCATGTGCCTTTTTCCTTGGCCAAGTCTCCCTTATTCCTCCAGTGTAGTAGGCCAGCTATGGCCCCAAGTGCGGCCATATGACTGATCCCAGGAGTCCTCCTAGCCAATCGTCGCACCTGGGGATGGGCTTCAGGACTCGATGCAGAACATACTCAACAACTCTTCAAATAAACACATCAGGTAGGTCAAAGGCAACTGGCCCCCAGAATTTTAAACAGAGCATACATTTAATGTCCTAGATCACCAGCTTTCAAACGTATTCAAAGCCAAAGAATTCCAATACATATAAAGCTTGAAGGTGAAGTGGTATGTACTTTAATAAGCACAGAAATCCACCTCTCTTGCTTACTTTCATAGCCCCAGCACCTGACCCAACGCCTGCACTGAGTGGGATACCTCCAATAAGTATTTCGTAAACGGAATTAAATAACTTAAGCTCAGATCATGAAATGTACTTAATCTGACACCAACCAAGGAGAACAACAAAGAGAGTCTGCTGACCTGAAAACCCCCACACAGCAGCTGGGGAACCTTACAGGTAACAGCTGACACATCACACCAGACTTAACTTCTGTGCAGTTCAAATCTGAAATCTGCGGAGCATCAGAAACATCCTTCTTTTTCTTACCGACTTGTCGTCTGGAAGCAGGAGTGTAATCCGACCAGGAAGGGGTTGCTGGATGCCTGCTCAAACACGTGCTTCTCTGTCTGTACCCAGTCAATATCCTGAAATAGAAACCAGGGAGTGGTAATGAGGCTCCTGAATGCTCCTCACAGACATCCTGGGCAAGGGGGAGGCAAGGGAGGAGTCTCTCTCCTCTGCTTTCAGGAAGATAATGCAGAGAGAAAAAGAAAACACCCATTAGGAACCGCATCACCACCACTGTCATCATCATCACCATCCACCCCACCTCTATCCCACCACCACCACCACCATCGTCACTGTCACCATCACCACCACTGTCACCATCCACCCCACCTCTATCCCACCACCACCACCACCATCGTCACTGTCACCATCACCACCACTGTCATCATCATCACCATCCACCCCACCTCTACCCCCACCACCATCATCGTCACTGTCACCATCACCACCGTCATCATCGTCATCATCCACCCCACCTCTACCACCACCACCATCATCGTCACTGTCACCATCACCACCGTCATCATCGTCATCATCCACCCCACCTCTACCACCACCACCGTCATCGTCACTGTCACCATCACTACCACTGTCATCATCATCACCATCCACCCCACCTCTACTCCCACCACCTGTCACCATCACCACCGTCATCATCGTCATCATCCACCCCACCTCTACCACCACCACCATCATCGTCACTGTCCCACCACCTGTCACCATCACCACCGTCATCATCGTCATCATCCACCCCACCTCTACCACCACCACCACCACTATCGTCACTGTCACCATCACCACTGTCATCATTGTCACCATCCACCCCACCTCTACCACCACCATCACCATCATCACCGTCACCATCACCACCGTCATCATTGTCACCATCCACCCCACCTCTAGCACCACCACCATCGTCACTGTCACCATCACCATCACTGTCATCATCGTCACCATCCACCCCACCTCTATCCCCCCACCATGGTCACTGTCACCATCACTGTCATCATCATCACCATCCACCCCACCTCCACCCCATCATCGTCACTGTCATCATCACCGTCATCATCGTCACCATCCACCCCACCTCCACCTCCCATCACCGTCACTGTCATCATCACCTTCGTCACCATCCACCTGTCACCACCATCATCACTGTCACTGTCACCTTCACCACTAGTCATCATCATTATCACCACCACCGTCATCACCATCTGCATCATCACTGTCATCGCCATCGTCACCATCACCATCACCATTGTCACCATCCACCCCACCTCCACCCCCATCATCACTGTCACCACCATCACTGTCACTGTCACCATCACCATCACACCAGTCACCATCCACCCCACCTCTACCATCATCACTGTCACCATCACCATCATCACCATCTACCCCACCTCTATCGTCACTGTCACCATCACCATCATTGTCACCATCCACCCCATCTCTATCATCGTCACTGTCACCATCACCATCATTGTCACCATCCACCCCACCTCTACCACCACCATCACTGTCACTGTCACCATCACTACCACTATCATCACCATCCACCCCACCTCCACCCCCCATTGTCACTGTCACCATCACCACCATCATCATCACCATCCACCTTACCTCCCCACCATCGTCACTGTCACCATCACTGTCATCATCACTGTCACCATCCACCCCACCTCCACCCCCCACCACCGTCACTGTCAGCATCACTGTCATCACCATCTACCCGCCACCATCATCACTGTCACTGTCACCATCACCTTTACCACTAGTCATCATTACCATCATTGTCATCACCACTATCACCACCACCATCATCACTACCGTCACCATCAATGTCAACACTACCACCACCATGACCATCATCACCATCAATCACCGTCATCACCACTATCACCACTGTCATCATCCACCCCCAACTCCACCCCTACCATCGTCACTGTCACCATCACCTTCATCACCACCATCATCACCATCATCACCACCATCATCACCATCATCACCACCATCATCATCATAACTGTCACTGTCATCACCACTGCCATCATCATCACCATCTCCATCATCACTGTCATCACCATCATCACTACCGTCATCACCACCACCATCATCACCACCGTCATCAATGTCAACACTACCACCACCATGACCGTCATCACCATCACCATCATCACCACCATCAGCATCTTCATCACCACCACCACCATCACGTCATCACCACTACTATATCACCATCATCACCACCACTGCCATCATCACCATCATCACCATCACCATCACCACCATCTTCACCACGATCACCAAAGCTACCAGCTCTGGTTGTATGCTGCCCTCTGGCCTCCGGGCTTTGCCCTAACAGTTCCGGGAGGCAGATATTATCTCCAGTTAGGACACAAGGAAACTGAGATGGAGGGCTAAGCGGATTCTCCAAGGTCCCAGTGCCACCGAGTGATAAGCCTGGGACAAGCCCACACCCATCACCAGAGCACTAGCTCCCGCCACAGGGCTGTCACCCTCCCAATGAACTCCTCCATGCTGGAGTTCAGCAAAATGCTGCAAGGTCAAAGGCAACTTTAGAGTCACAAAGATCCAACAGCTTGGTCTCATCTTGACCCCAGAAAGTAGGCTGGACAAGGTTTCCATATCTTCCTAGGTCAACCCCTTGTCTTCACGGTTAGAAAAATGACAGTGAAAGAAATACATCCCAAATAGGCTGGAGTACAGGGGTGTGATCACTGCTCACTGCAGCCTTGACCTCTGGAGCTCCAGCGATCCTCCCACTTCAGCCTCCAGAGGAGCTGGGACCACAGATACACACCACACTCGGCAATTTTATTTTTTGCAGAGGCAGGGTCTTACTGCCCCTACCCCTGGAAGTTTTGTGGAAACAAATCAGCAAACCATTAGGCTCTATTTAGTCTCTGAGACTGCATCATTCCTCCTCAGCGCCCTCCTTCTCGAGGCTCGGTCCTCGGCCACCCTCCCTTCTCTCCGGAGGCAGATCCAATGGAGGGGCTTCGAGTCCCATCTTTCCACGCCGAGAGCTCCTGGCCCGGCCTCTCCCTGAGTTGCAGACCTGCACCCCGATGGCTGCTCAACACGTGCACCCGGGCATCTCACGCCACCCCAGGCCACGAGCCAAGCTCCTCGCCAGCCCGCATCTCCTCCCACCTCCAGTGGCTGAAAACCCAGACGGTCGGCGGTGACTCCTCCACCCCTCACCTGCCACCACCCATGCCCCAGTGGCCCTCACCAGCAGCACCCACACACTGTGGCCCTGCAGGGACGTCGGCGTTGGGATCACGACCCACTGGGGCCCCGCAGGGACGTCGGCGTTGGGATCACGACCCACTGTGGCCCTGCAGGGACGTCGGCGTTGGGATCACGACCCACTGTGGCCCTGCAGGGACGTCGGCGTTGGGATCACGACCCACTGGGGCCCCGCAGGGACGTCGGCGTTGGGATCACGACCCACTGGGGCCCCGCAGGGACATCGGCGTTGGGATCACGACCCACTGGGGCCCCACAGGGACGTCGGCATTGGGATCACGACCCACTGGGGCCCCGCAGGGACGTCGGCGTTGGGATCACGACCCACTGGGGCCCCGCAGGGACGTCGGCGTTGAGATCATGACCCACATATCACTCAGCACCCAAACTGAGTGGAACCTCCCGGAGGCAGCACTGCTGAGTTCAAGGCACATCTGGCCCTGCGTGGGGCCGGTGCTGCAGAATTGGTGGGAAGGGGCTTGCCAGTGACTCCCGGGGGAACAAGAAGCAAGCCTAGCCCGAGTTCAGTCTCTTTGTGAGGAGAAAGAAATTTCTAGAAACCATCCAAGCATTCAACAACTCCTAGAATCAAGTTCTTCTCAAAAGACAACCTCAGAGTCCCCACCTCGGCATCCTGGCCCACAGGGGATGATTTCCAGACAGACCAAAACTGCAGCAGCGACTCTTCCTAATGCCTTTTCTCAGGGTCCTGCAAACTTGCTCTCATCATGGCATTAACTGCCAGCTGGCCGGGGTGTGCTGCAAAGAGGGTTGGAATCCTCTTCTGCGGCCGCTGGCCAGCAGTGGGGCCGTCAGCAGGGCACCACACCTCTCAGGGCCTCCGTTCCTCGGCACAGGGCATGGATGCTGCCACTCAATTGTGAGTTCTGCACCCAGGGACGACAGGCCAGTTGGACAGCCTGTGTACTGCACAGACACACCCTGCTGGGAGGCAGTAGAGGCTCAGTCCCAGCCCCAGTTCTGCCTCCCAGCCCCGAGCCTGGCTGGTGGGGAGGGAGCCCCTCTGTGGCCCACTGGGGCTCGATGAGCACCCAGTTGCCTTCTGTGCTAGCAGCACTTGGTGATAACGGCATTACTGCCACCTACACATCGGCCTTTTTTCTGCTCCTGAAAGACGCAACCTGCACTCAGGTATGAAAGCAGAAGGCCAAAAATACCAGAAGCCGACAAGTGCACGAAAGATGCTGAACATCGCCAGTCATTAGAGAAATGTCAGTCAAAGCCACAGCTGCACACTCATTAGGACGGAGGTCATCCAAATAATGTGCATGGCTGAGAACCTGCAGAAACGGGCCCGTGCGCTGCTGGCGGGGAGGTGAAACGGCGGCTGCGAGAGAAACAGCCTGGCAGGTCCCCATCACCTGAACAGAGAACTACCACATGACCCAGTAACGCCACTGCTAGGTTTGCACTCAAAAGAACTGGAAATAGACTCAAACAGATTCTTGCACACAAACCTTCACCATGGCACCACTCACAAGAGCCAAGGGTGGGAACACTGCAAATGCCCCTTGGCAGGTGCACGCGTGAACGTGGGGCCTCCACCGGACAACAGAACAACATTACCCAGCCAGGCAGAGAGAGGAAGGCCTGAGCAAGCAGCCACACGGATGGACCCCGGAGAAGCCAGACACTAAAAGCTCACACACAACTCCATTCTGTCAAATGTGCAGAAGAGGGAAGTCCGCAGAGGCAGAAGGCAGACTGGAGGCCACTGGGGCCAATGTAGAGGGGAAGCAGGGGGTGGGTATGGGGTCTCCTTTTGGGGTGAGGAAAATGTTCTGGAATCAGAGAGGTGATAGCTGCCCAACTCTGTACCTCAATGTGCTAAAAGCTGCCTAACGGTACACTTTATTTGTATATTTTATTCCTTTTTTAAGACAGAGTCTCATTCGGTCACCCATGCTGGAGTGCAGTAGTGTGATCTCGGCTCACTGCAATCTCCGCCTCCCAGGTTCAAGTGATTCTCCCGTCTCAGCCTCTGAGTAGCTGGGATTAGAGGTGTGTGCCACCACACCTGGCTAATTTTTGTATTTTTAGTATAGCTGGGGTTTCACCATATATTGGTCAGGCTGGTCGTGAACTCCTGACCTCAGGTAATCCACCCGTCTTGGCCTCCCAAAGTGCTGGGATTATAGGTGTGAGCCACCACGCCTGGCCCTAACTGTACACTTTAAAATGTCAAATTCTATACCATGTGTATTCTACTATAATTAAAACAAAAAGGTGTATGAAGTCAGAATCACGATTTCAACAAATAGGCCAAACGCTGTGACTCATGCCTGTAATCCCAGCACTCCAGCAGGCTGAGTGGGGCAGAGTGCATGACTGCAGGAATTCGAAACCAGCCTGGGCAACATAGTGGAACCCCGTCTCTACAAAAAACAAAAAATAGCCGGGCATGGTGGTGCACGCCTGTAGCCCTGGCTCCTCTAGAGGCAGAAGTGGGAAGATCACCTTAGCCCAGCAAGAGGTGGAGGCTACAGGAGGAGGTGGAGGCTGCAGGAGGTGAGCTGTGATCATGCTCTGCACTCCAGCCTGGGTGACAGAGTGAGACGCTGCCTCTACAAAAAATACAAAATTATACAGCTGGGGGTGGTGGCTCATGCCTGTAGTCCCAACACTCTGGAGGCTGAAGTGGGAGGATCACCTGAGCTGGGGAGTTTGAGGCTACGTGGGCTGTGATCAAGTCACTCCAGCCTGGGTGACAGAGTAAGACCCTGTTTAAGAACCTATTTCCAAAAAAAAAAAAGATTTCAACAAATAAACCATTGATCCTATAATCAATAAACTTCTGCCCCAGAAACAGCTGGTGTGGGAAGATCTGCTACACAGAGCTGTGGCAGCTCAGCACGTCCCTCAAAGCTGGGCCTTGTGCAGGACGGAGTGGGGCAGCGCCTCTGGGCAGCTTCCTGTCCCACCCCATCACCCGCCCGGTTCAGCTCAACCCCAGGGATTTCCTAACAAGGGTGACGACGTCCTCAAGCTCAACCGCAGTCTGCTGGAAGGCGACGTATCAGTGGTTGGCCACACACGCGAAGGTCGCGGAGACGATACCCATCTTCACCTTTTCAAAGCTTAGACACGAGTGCTCTCTGCAGTGGTCCGCTCACTGCCTGCGGTGTGCAGTGCACGGAGAGCCGTGCGGGCTGGCAGCCTGAGAGCAGGAGCTGCACTGTGCATCCTGGCCGCAGAGTTGGCTGCGCCGTTTGGGTTTGTGGAGCACGCACTGTGACATTCACACAACGGTGCCATCACCTGACCAGGCACTTTCCAGAGCACATCCCGGTTGTTACGCGACGCATCACTATCGATTCTGCGCCAACTCCATCAACACGAGGCCAGGACTCTCATGCCTGGATTAATTTTGCTAAAGCCTGGAGCATTCATGATGGCCTTCTAATGCCCTCTTCCCCAGGTGGCGGCCCCAGGGCGGCGCGTTCCCGGGACCCCGAGCGCCGTGAGAAGTGGCACCTACCTCGTCGTCGTGCACCAGCTCTTTCTTCACCACTTTCATGGCGTAAATTTGGTCATTCTTCTTCAACCGCACCAGGAGAACCTTGGCGTAGCTCCCGCGCCCTATGACTCTGATTAGGTCGAAGTCCTGCAGCCCGAGCCCCTGAGAGATTTTGATTCCATCCATCCCATCGATAACTGGCTTAAGGTCCTAGGAAGGGAGAACAAGACGCCAGAAAGTGAGGGGAGAGGGGTCCCGGGAGATTCAGAGGACCACGCATCACTCATGCGGTCCCAACAGAGATCTGCTCCTCAGAGCCTAGAGCCTCACGATTCCAGTCTCAGCTCTGCGTCCCACAGATCCCACCCCCACACTCCCATCTAAACCGGGGCACAAAAGGTGAGAACTTCAGGCTGTGCTTCTGAGGAAGGTGCTAGAAAGTCAGAAGCTGCTCGTTTCCACAGACCATGGCTCTGGTCACAGCTGCCAGTGGGAGGGACCCCCAGGCCTTCGGCCCTATCAGTCGGGCTGAAGAGGTGGCCACTGGGACATGCGGCCCAGGGCCTGGGCCCATCCTTCCCCATCAGGGCCCTCCCTCGGGGAAGGAAGGTAAAGTAAACGTAGCTAATGCCTGCCAAGAGCTCCCAAACCGGCAAGCACACATTATTAGAAATAATTATTAGAAATATACAGGAGAAAGGCGCTCCAAGGAAAAAGAGAAGCCTCAGCCTCCTGCAAGCTACACCTGGCAAGGATGTCGGGGTGGAGGAGGCAGTTCGCTAGCAGGTGCTGTTCTGTGCAGCAGAATGGATTCTGCTTTTTTTGAGACAGGGTCTTCCTCTGCCACCCAGGCTGGAGTGCAGTGGCGCAATCTCGGCTCACTGCAGCCTCCACCTCCCAAGCTCAGGCGATCCTCCCACCTCAGCCTCCCAAGCAGCTGGGACCACAGGCCCATGCCACCATGCCCAGCTAATTATTTTGTATTTATTTTTGCAGGAATAGGGCTTCACTACGCTGCCCAGGCTGTTCTCAAGCTTCTGGACTCAAGTGATCTGCCCAACCCAGCCTCCCAAAATGCTGGGATTGGAGGTATGAGCCACCGTACCCGGCTTTGGATTCTGCTTTCTAAGTGACCTGGCCTCCCTCCAGACACAGGACGGCCAGGAAGGAGCACGAGTTGTGAGGGTGGTATGTGCCGCTGCTCTGGAAAGGTGTGGGCTTCGCCAGCGCAGCCCTTTCTTGGGTTTTACGAGCAGAGGCTGACAACACAGCAAACTCTTCTGTTCCCTTCTCAGGGTTTGTGGTGCAGAGCTGGCCACAGACGCGAGGCTCAGTTGAGCCTCTTGGCTCGAGTTGGGGAAGGACGTGAAAGGGCATTAGAGGGGTTTGCCAGGACGGCCAAACGAGGCAACGAAAGGAAGGCCGTGGTGCAGACACAACTTGATAAAAATTGCAGCTCAAAAGCCAGCCCCTGGGCCACTGTACTGCCTGGGTGGAGAGGATGTGGGGCGCAGCTTCCCCCCAGGGTGTGGTCCCCAGACCACCCGCGGGGACAGCTGCCTCCAGGGAATCACCAAGGATGTGCCTGAAATAAGATCCAAGAATAAGGGCTTCTTTCTAGACACCTACACCCGTGAAGATTAGCAACATCCCGGACCGTATATTTCACATCCAGATTTCCGTGACTGCCCCAGAGGCAGGCTCACAGACTTTCAAGAGGACGCTGGAAAGGTAGCGAGCTGCTCCGCAGACTCACCTCAGAGTCGTCTTTAATGCTGTCATGTTTCCGGGATGAGGAAATGTAAGCAACTGGCGAGAGAGGGAGGAAGAGGCGTTATGGTGTCGTCAGGAACGCGCTGGGAACACAGCGACCCCGTGGGCCCTGCTCCTCCACCAGGCGACGGTGAAGGGCGACTCTACACAGCAGCCATGTCTGATTCTAGTTTAGAGTCTTTTGAAAATGCAGTTTCCTGGGCCCCACTCAGACCTGCCGACTCTGACCATGAGACCTGGGGATGTACATTTGTGACACACGCCCCCAGGGGTCCATCTGCAAATAATTAGTCATCAGATTTTGGTGTCCAGTGAATGGGTGGGTGGGGCAGGAGGGGATGTCTAGTGAAGGGATGGAGGATGACTAGATGGGGGATGAATGGAGGCCTGGATGGAAGACGGACAGATGGAGAGGTCAGTGGACAACAGATGGATGGATATATGGACAGGTCAGTGGACAATAGATAGATGGATATATGGAGAGGTCAGTGGACAACAGATGAATGGATAGATGGAGAGATCAGTGGACAATAGATGGATGAATAGATGGAGAGGTCAGTGGAAAATAGATGGATAGATGGAGAGGTCAGTGGACAATAGATGGAGAGGTCAGCGGAAAATGGATAGATGGAGAGGTCAGTGGACAATAGATGGATAGATGGAGTGGTCAGTGGACAATAGATGGACTGATGGAGAGATCGGTGGACAACAGATAGATGGATGCAGAGGTCAGTGGACAATAGATGGATAGATGGAGACGTCAGTGGACAATAGATGCATGGGTAGATGGAGAGGTCAGTGGACAACAGATGGAGAGGTCAGTGGACAATAGATGGATGGATAGACGGAGAGATCAGTGGACAACAGATAGATGGATGGAGAGGTCAGTGGACAACAGACAGATGGAAAGACAGAGACGTCAGTGGACAATAGATGGATGGGTAAATGGAGAGGTCAGTGGAAATAGATAGATGGAAAGATGGAGATGTCAGTGGACAACAGATGGATGGGTAGATGGAGAGGTCAGTGGACAATAGATGGATAGATGGAGAGGTCAGTGGACAATAGATGGATAGATGGAGAGGTCAGTGGACAACAGATGGATGGAGAGGTCAGTGGACAATAGATGGAAAGATGGAGACGTCAGTGGACAATGGATGGGTAGATGGAGAGGTCAGTGGACAACAGATGGATAGATGGAGAGGTTAGTGGACAATAGATAGATGGATATATGGAGAGGTCAGTGGACAACAGATGAATGAATAGATGGAGAAGTCAGTGGACAATAGATAGATGGATATACGGAGAGGTCAGTGGACAAAAGATGGATCGACAGATGGATATATGGAGAGGTCAGTGGACAACAGATGGATCAATACATGGAGAAGTCAGTGGACAATAGATAGATGGATGCAGAGGTCAGTGGACAATAGATAGACGGACAGATGGAGAGGTTAGTGGACAATAGTTGGATGGATAGATGGTCAGTGGACAATAGATGGATGGATAGATGGACAGGTCAGTGGACAATAGATAGATGGCCAGATGGAGAGGTCAGTGGACAACAGATAGATGGATAGATGGAGAGGTCAGTGGACAATGGATGGATATATAGAGAGGTCAGTGGACAAAAGTTGGATGGATAGATGGAGAGGTCAGTGGACAACAGATGGAAAGATGGAGACGTAAGTGGACAACAGACGGATAGATAGATGGAGAGGTCAGTGGATGATAGATGGATAGATGGAGACATCAGTGGACAACAGATGGATGGAGAGGTCAGTAGACAATAGACAGATGGACAGATGGAGAGGTCAGTGGACAATGGATGGACAGATGGAGAGGTCAGTGGACAAGAGATGGATGGATAGATAAAGAAGTCAGTGGACAACAGACAGATGGATAGATGTAGAGGCTAGTGGACAATAGAAGGATGAATGGAGAGGTCAGTGGACAATAGACAGAAAGATGGAGACGTCAGTGGACAATGGATGGGTAGATGGAGAAATCAGTGGACAACAGACAGATGGATGAAGAGGTCAGTGGACAATAGATGGAAAGATGGAGACATCAGTGGACAATGGATGGAGAGAGAGAGAGGTCAGTGAAAAATAGATGGATAGATGGAGAGGTCAGTGGACAATAGTTGGATGGATAGATGGAGAGGTCAGTGGACAACAGATAGATGGATACATGGAGAGGTCAGTGGACAATAGATGGATGGATAGATGGAGAGGTCAGTGGACAACAGATAGATGGATACATGGAGAGGTCAGTGGACAATAGATAGATGGACAGATGGAGAGGTTAGTGGACAATAGTTGGAGGGATAGATGGAGAGGTCAGTGTACAACAGATGGATGGATAGATGGAGAGGTTAGTGGACAATAGATGGATAGATGGAGAGGTTAGTGGACAATAGATAGATGGATATATGGAGAGGTCAGTGGACAATAGATGAATGGATAGATGGAGAGGTCAGTGGACAACAGATAGATGGATATATGGAGAGGTCAGTGGACAACAGATGGATAGATGGAGAGGTTAGTGGACAATAGATAGATGGATATATGGAGAGGTCAGTGGACAATAGATGAATGAATAGATGGAGAGGTCAGTGGACAACAGATAGATGGATATATGGAGAAGTCAGTGGACAACAGATGGATCGATAGATGGAGAAGTCAGTGGACAATAGATGGATGCAGAGGTCAGTGGACAATAGATAGATGGACAGATGGAGAGGTTACTGGACAATAGTTGGATGGATAGATAGGTCAGTGGACAACAGATGGATGGATAGATGGACAGGTCAGTGGACAATAGATAGATAGATAGATGTAGAGGTTAGTGGACAATAGATAGATGGATGAATGGAGAGGTCAGTGGACAACAGACAGAAAGATGGAGACATCAGTGGACAATGGATGGGTAGATGGAGAGGTCAGTGGACAACAGATGGATGGAGAGGTCAGTGGACAATAGATGGAAAGATGGAGACGTCAGTGGACAATAGATGGATGGATAGATGGAGAGGTCAGTGGACAATAGATAGATGGATACATGGAGAGGTCAGTGGACAATAGTTGGATGGATAGCTGGAGAGGTCAGTGGACAACAGATAGATGGATAGATGGAGAGGTCAGTGGAAAAGAGATGGATAGATGGAGAAGTCAGTGGACAACAGACAGATATATGGAGAGGTCAGTGGACAATAGATACATGGATAGATGGAGAGGTCAGTGGACAATAGAGGGACGAATGGAAGATAGCTGGAGGATGGGTGAGTGGAGAATGGCTGGCTAGCTGAATGATGAGATGGATGGATATAAGATGGATAGGTAGATGGGTGGAAGATAGATAGCTGGAGGATGGGTGGGTGGAAGATGGCTGTCTGGTTGACTAGATGGATGGATGGAGTGTGGATAGATGGATAGGTGGTGGATGGATGGAGAATGGGTGGGTGGAGGATGGCTGGTTGGCTGGTTGGCTGGATGACTAGATGGATGGATGGATGGATGGATGGAGGATGGGTAGTGGAGGATGGCTGGCTGGCTGATGACTAGATGGATGGATGATGGATGGAGGATGGAGGATGGATGGATGGATGGGTGGGTGGAGGATGGCTGGCTGGCTGAGGGCCGGTTGATTGACTAGGTGGGTGAATGGATGATGTACGGATGTATATCTGTATAGAGGATGGGCGGGTGGGGGACGGCTGGTTGGCTCGATGACTAGATGGATGGATGATGGATGGAGGATGGATGGATGAATGATGGATGGATGGATGGATGGATGGATGGATGGATGGAGGATAGGTAGTGGAGGATGGCTGGTTGGCTGGATGACTAGATAGATGGATGGAGGATGGAGGATGGATGGATGGATGGATGGGTGGGTGGAGGATGGCTGGCTGAGGACCGGTTTGTTGGCCAGGTGGGTGAATGGATGATGTATGGATGTATATCTGTATAGAGGATGGGCGGATGGAGGATGGCTGGTTGGCTGGATAACTAGATGGATGGATGGAAGATGGATAGATGGATGGAGAATAGATGGATGGATGGAGAATGGATGGATGGATGGATGGATGGATGGATGGATGGATGGATGGAGGATGGGCGGGTGGAGGATGGCTGGCTGGCTAGCTGAGGACCAGTTGATTGGCTAGGTGGGTGAATGGATGACGTACAGATGAATATCTGTATAGAGGATGGGTGGGTGAGGATGGCGGGTTGGCTGACGGCCGGTTGGTTGGCTAGGTGGGTGAATGGCTGACGTACAGATGAATATCTGTATAGAGGATGGGTGGGTGAGGATGGCGGGTTGGCTGACGGCCGGTTGGTTGGCTAGGTGGGTGAATGGATGACGTACAGATGAATATCTGCATAGAGGATGGGTGCGTGAGGATGGCGGGTTGGCCGACGGCCGGTTGGTTGGCTAGGTGGGTGAATGGATGACGTACAGATGAATATCTGTATAGAGGATGGGTGCGTGAAGATGGCGGGTTGGCTGACAGCCGGTTGGTTGGCTAGGTGGGTGAATGGATGACGTACAGATGAATATCTGTATAGAGGATGGGTGGGTGGAGGATGGCGGGTTGGCTGATGGCCGGTTGGTTGGCTAGGTGGGTGAATAGATGATGTATGGATGTATATCTGTATAGAGGATGGGCGGGTGGAGGATGGCTGGCTGGCTGGATGACTAGATGGATGGATGGAAGATGGATGGAGGATGGAGGATGGATGGATGGATGGAGGATGGGCGGGTGGACAGCTGGTTGGCTGGATGACTAGATGGATGGATGGAAGACGGATGGAGGATGGAGGACGGACGGATGGATGGATGGATGGAGGATGGGCCGGTGGAAGATAGCTGGTTGGCTGGATGACTAGATGGATGGATGGAAGATGGATGGAGGATGGACGGATGGATGGATGGAGGATGGGCGGGGGGAGGATGGCTGGCTGGCTGACCAGCTGGTTGGCTAGGTGGGTGAATGGATGATGTATGGATGTATATCTGTATAGAGGATGAGTGGGTGGGGGATGGCTGGCTGAGGACCAGTTGATTGGCTAGGTGGGTGAATGGATGATGTATGGATGTATATCTGTATAGACGATGGGTGGGTGGGGGATGGCTGGTTGGTTAGCTGACTAGATGGATGGATGGAGGACAGAGGATGGACGGATGGATGGATGGAGGATGGGTGGGTGAAAGATGGCTTGCTGGCTGGCTGGCTGAGGACCAGTTGATTGGCTAGGTGGGTGAACGGATGATGTATGGATGTATATCTGTATAGAGGATGGGCGGGTGGGAGATGGCTGGTTGGCTGGATGACTAGATGGATGGATGGATGGATGAATGGATGGATGGAGGATGGATGGATGGATGGATGGATGGATGGACGGACGGACGATGGGTGAGTGGAGGATAGCTGGCTGGCTGAGGACCGGTTGGTTGGCTAGGTGGGTGAACGGATGATGCATGGATGCATATCTGTATAGAGGATGGGTGGGTGGTGGGGCAGGTGGGCAGGCAGTTGTTTGTGAGGCATCTTTTTTGCGTGAGGCACTGTGTGAACTAAGTGCTTTATGTTCTGTGGTCTCGCGTCATCCTCCCTGGGCTCCCAGTGAGACAGAACTCACATGCTGCATCAAGTGAAAGTGAGGCTCTCGCATCCTCGTGCAGAGGTGCAGGTGGAGGCTCAGAGCTGGGCTGTAAGTCCAGCTGGTGTTTGAGCTCTCTCTCTGAATGCTTCTTAGCAATAAAACAAGTCCTTCCCCATAAACAAAACCTCACAAAAATCTAAGGACCATACCACTGCCATGCTGTGTGTGCAGCAGCCACCTCGCCAGCCTTTCCCCAGACAGGGTTCAGCTCTGTGCAACAGCCAGATTGTGGGAAGTGCCCGGCCGTGGTGGCTGCTGCACTAAGTGCCTTTGAGAATTCCCGGAGCTGGTTAGAGGAAGAGGCTCTGCACCCCTGGGCTGCCTGGCCGTGGTGGCCGCTGCGCTAAGTGCCTTCGAGAATTCCCGGAGCTGGTTAGAGGAAGAGGCTCTGCACCCCTGGGCTGCCTGGCCGTGGTGGTCGCTGCGCTAAGTGCCTTCGAGAATTCCCAGAGCTGGTTTAGAGGAAGAGGCTCTGCACCCCTGGGCTGCCACAACCGCGCTTCACGGAGGCATCCCTGCCCAGCAGCCTCCAGGGAGGGCCAGCTCACTCTGCCCATCTCTGCCAGGGATTGAGAAGAGGCCCTGGAGAGCCTCATCCCCAGCCCTGGGGAAGGGTGGCCAGGCTTGAAGACAATGACCCCTGCAGAGCAGATGGGACTGAGAAAGGACTCGTGGCCAGAAGGCAGAGGTGAGCAGGGTGAGGTGATGCCCAGGCTCCACCCAGCCGAAGAAAGCAGCGCCTACTTCCATCTGTCTCCTCGGAAGGAAGGTCGGCGTCCTCGCTCTTGTCATCTACTGGAGGCTCTTGGGAAGGCATGACAGAATCCTGCCGGAGAGACAGAGAGATGGCAGCATGACCAAGTGCTGGAGCAGGTGTTACAAGGTAGCTTCTGTAAACACTTCATGACTTTTTTTTAATTAAAAATATATTTTTTTTTACAGACAGGGTCACACTCTGTCATCATCCAGGCTGGAGGGCAGTGGCATGATCACGGCTCACTGCAGCTTCAACCTCCTGAGCTCAAGCAAAATCCTCCCACCTCAGCTTCCAGAGCAGCTAGCACGACAGGTGCGCACCACCACACCTGGCTAGTTTTTGAATTTTTTGTAGAGATGGGGTCTCACCATATTGCCCAGGCTGGTCTTGACCTCCTGGCCTCAAGTGATCCTCCCACAGTGTTGGGATTACAGGCGTGAGCCTCTGCACCTGGCCACTTCAAGACTATCTATGATTCACATATTTGCACATTACAAACGTTATATTGTAATATAGTATATAAAAATCTAATTATGCTATTGTACCAAATAAAGAACATAAACACTGCCTATGATTCTGCAGACAAAGGTGGCCACTCAGTACTGTAGGCCAAGTGCTGTCTACAATGGGATCTTTTGCACAATGCTTGGTCATCTCTCCTGTCCCAAAGCTGCATCCTGGCAGTAACCAAACATCAGGGGGCCATTCTAAGGGCCTCTGGGTTCCGCCTGCAGGTGCATCATAATGGAGTCACCCGTACTGGCGGTCAGTTGGGTGGCAGCCTCTGGCCTCCCTCTGCCTCTAGCTGACCACATTTCTGGGGCCGGTCTCATTTGCTTACGCTAAAGTGGACCCATGGGGTCAAAGGGCATTACAGGCTTTTTGGCAGATGCAGCTGAAGGACCTCTGGAAGGACTATGCCAATGCATGCACCAGCCTGCGTGGCCCCCCATCCCTGTGCCTGGTGATCCTGGGGTGACACCCTGATCCAGACTCTGTCTTTATCCTGTAATAGAGGAGAGGGCACGTCACCCCTACAGGCACCTTTCCTCCCATGCCACGGCAAGATGCAGACGAGCCACCCTCCCCAGACACACCCACCGCACACTGCAGTGGGGCCCAGGGAGCTGAATGTTCAGTCCAGGCCTCGCCCCCGTGGTTCAGTGAGATGCAGGGGGCCATGCGGAAATGCCAGAGGCAGCCATCAATAAGGAAAAGTCAACAAGGCCCCAAAAGGCCTTGTTGTGGGAGGTACCCACAACACCTCCCAAGTGTGGGAGGATGCTTCAAGTCCAAGCACTCAGGGACGGCAGAGGGAAGGTGCCGCCCTCATCACAGGCTGGGCATGGCTTCCCAGGGAGGATTCCCGAGAAAGGCTCCAGATGTCCGGAGCCTCGGCATGCCCAATGCTACTGAGGTCAGACCTGGCTTTCACCTCCACAGTCCCGAAGAGCTGGTTCACGACTGGAGTATGAATGAACCTTACCCCTGCCCCACTGAGCAGAGCATGCCAGGTCCTACCTCAGACTGTCACCTGAGCCTCATGCCACAATGAGCAGAGCGTGCCAGGGGCTCGTGCGGGCTCAGGAAGACGGGTCCTACCCGAGACTGCCGCCTGAGTCTCACGCTGTAGCCGAGGTAGGACAGCACCGCAGCTCCTCTTGAAGAACCCAGGGTCACCAAGGTCTGCTTGGACAATGGGCTGGCAGCCACGCCCCGGCCCCGCCCATGCTCCCTAAGGCCCACCCAGCCCTGCAACTCACCATATGCTTCCTGCAGGTCAGCGGGACGAGGCCGTGGCAGCGCTTATGGACCAGCAGTTTGCAGTTGATGCACCTGTAGCCTTGCCTCGCGAGGCCCCATATCCTCTCGCTGCACTGACCGCAGTACGCTCTCTGTAGACGGGAACAGAACGTCAGGCCCAGGCCACGTTGAGGGGCCAGCGGAGAGGGCAGGCAGAGCCTTCCACACCTGTACCTTCTCAAAAGAGGACACTGAGCCAGGCAACAGGCGGCCCCGGCACCTTGTCCCTTCCGGGTGCCAGGCTTGCCCAAGCTCGGCAGCTTCCTCTTGGGTCCACCCCAAGGTTGGGGGAACCAACAGCCCCAAGGAGAGGCCTGGAACCCTGTTATGCATGAGAGAACACAGGGGAGGTTCCATCGGGCAGGGGTGACGAGGCGCTGCTTCAGGCAAGGCCCCCTGGTTTGCAAGGGCTGGGGGGCTGCAGCTCCTGCTGGGCTCTGCGTAGGGCAGCCTGGGTCCTGTCTAGGGCTGAGCAGAGTGTAGGGCACCCCCTGCCTGCTCTTCATTCAAACAGAACCTCCTCCCGACAGCCTCAGAGAAGGCGAACTCGGACCACAAACATCTCGAACTACTACTACACCACAGCCTGCAATTATCTTAGTATTCTTTGCTCAGTACTTTTCAAGATTTTAAATGATCCTTCTTTATTCTTCATGGTTCTGAACAACTCGAAAATGATGGTAATTATCAGTTTGTTTGGCAACGTTTTCACGAACGTTTAAATGTTACGAAAGGCATAACTATGAATGTTGCCGGGACCTGCTTGGACATTTTCTGCCTTGCCCAAGTGCCCGAAGGGTTCCTGGGAGCAAATCATCTACACTGTCACCGCGTGCCCAGAGTCTCCAGTTTAGATTCTTTCCAGACATAACCCTTTCATATGCTTTTTCCTCTTTTACCATTTTTCACGAATTTCCTTCCTATTACAGAGTCTCACCTCACACCGAGTGAAGAGGAAATACAGTGTACTGTGAACGGCATGAACTGAATTCACGTGAGGAAACGGGACCCTCAGCACGTGTGGGCACCAGATGCAGCTGAGCAAACGGGGCTCACACCCCCTACGGGACTCTCCTGCTCATCAGAAAGAGCCTGCTTGGGACGCCAGGGCCCGGGGACCCTTCCCCCACCCACAGCCCGCTTGTTTGGGTGGGGACAGATAACCAGCACCTAGGACAGTGCCCAGCACACAGCGGGCATCAGGTAAGAAAACACACGGGCATCATCGCTTTCAACTTCCGTAACAGGAAAAAGGAGCTGACTCCGCATCCTCTGCACATGCTACCTACATCAGCCTGGCTGTGACAGAGCCAAACCAGGCCTGTGGGCTCTATCCGAAGGAGGGATGGGTGGGAGGCGGCATCCCACCCGAGACCTCTGACTCGGGGCCAAGCTAGCTTAACGCCGGCACCGGGAGTTTTGCCCCAGTTGGTGCCCATTGGATGTGTGGACCCTGGAGTTAAAGGAGGTGTTTTGGCTGCTGAATGTGTGGACCCTGGAGTCAAAGGAGGCAGGCTCGGCCTCCCAGGTTCAAGTGATTCTCCTGTCTCAGTCTCCTGAGTAGCTGGGATTGTAGGTGCCTGCCACCACGTCTGCCTAATTTTTTATTTTTAGTAGAGATGGGGTTTCACCATGTTGGCCAGGCTGGTCTCAAACTCCTGACCTCAGGTGATCCACCCACCCCAGCCTCCCAAAGTGCTGGGATTACAGGCATGAGCTACCGCACCAGGCCTCCCTGCTCATATTTTCTTTTCTTTTTCTTTCTTTTCAGATGGAGTCTTGATCTGTTGCCCAGGCTGCAATACAGTAGCATGATCCTGGCTCACTGAAACCTCCAGGTCCCTGGTTCAAGCTATTCCCCTGCCTCAGCCTCCCCAATAGCTGGGATTGCAGGCACCCACCACTATGCCCGGCTAAATTTTGTTGTATTTTTAGATAAGATGGGATTTCACTATGTTGACCAGGCTGGTCTCGAACTCCTGACCTCAGGCAATCCGCCTGCCTCGGCCTCCCAAAGTGCTGGGATTACATGTGTGAGCCATCATGCCCGGTCTCCTGCTCGTATTTTCAATGACCCATTTTCATGTTTTGGACCCTTACCTATTCTGATGGTTGGAGCCCCTGTTTGGGCTTTTACCAGCTTGGGCTCAGGATATCCTGCTTCCCACCGTGTTTTGTGGTTTTCGATTGCGAGCTCAAATGCCTGATTCATTTATCGGCGGGAATTCTTTGAGGCTGGCTTGAAGGGGAATTGCGTTGGCCTCTGCCAGTCACCTGGGGGCACTGCTTGGACCAAACCTGACAGGCACTGCTGCTCCTGGGTGGCATCTTCTGATATCCCTTCCCCACCCTCACTCTATAGCCTCTTCTCCAGGGACCCAAGTGGTCACTCCTCTGTCCACTCATGATAAAGGCCAAAGTCTTGGGCTGTCCACCCAGCTGTCCCTGTGGCTCTCGTGCCCCGTGTGCCACCAGCAGAGGGCTCTCCAGCAGCCACCACTCAGAGATGTGGCCTGCCATGGTTTATACTCCACATGGTAGAGTGGGTTGTTCACAGCAAAGAGAGTGGCAAACTCCAGACACGATTCCCACTCTTGCTTGTAAAAATAATGCTGAGCTGATCTTCTCCATACACAAACCTCCGAATGACGGGTGATTTCTTTTGAAGAGAGGCAGGATGAGAACATCGCTGCACATTTCCTGAGTGATTTCCAGACAGTAGGGTCCGTGTCTGCCCCACATCCCCAGGGTTGGCAGACCCCATGAAAGCAACCCTGGGCTTTAATTACTTTTTAGTTGTTTTGTTTTTGTTTCTTGTTGTTTTGAGGTGGAGTCCTGCTCTGTCGCCCAGGCTGGAGTGCAGTGGTGCAATCTCGGCTCACTGCAACCTCTGCCTCCCAGGTTCAAGCAATTCTCTGCCTCAGCCTCCCAAGTAGCTAGGATTACAAGAACCCACCCCAACGCCCAGCTAATTTTTTTGTATTTTTAGTAGAGATGGGGTTTCACCAACTTGGCCAGGCTGGTCTTTTTTTTTTTTTTTTGGGCGGGAGTCTTGCTCTGTCGCCCAGGCTGGAGTGCAGTAGCCCAATCTCAAATCACTGCAACCTCTGCCTCCCAGGTTCAAGCAATTCTCCTGCCTCAGCCTCCCGAGTAGCTGGGACTACAGGCACCCGCCACCTCGCCCGGCTAGTTTTTTGTATTTTTTAGTAGAGACAGGGTTTCACCGTGTTAGCCAGCATGGTCTTGATCTCCTGACCTCGTGATCCGCCCATCTCGGCCTCCCAAAGTGCTGGGATTACAGGCGTGAGCCACCACGCCCGGCCGACTTTAATTACTTTTAACACCTTCGATGTTGACAGAGAAAATGTCTTGTGTTCCCCTGATCACTTGTGGAGGTCATGCTGTCCTCATCTCTAAACAATTACAGTCTTACTTCCTCAACCACTCACACCTGTCCTGTTTCTCGGTCCCAGCATTTACCAAAAGCCTTTGTGTAGGAGCTCTCTAATCCTAAGTGTGAGTTGTCTGGATCTCTTCTGGGTTTTATGTGCTACAAACCCTTTTCCTATATGTTTTTTGCATTTAATCTGGAAATTAAAAAAATCAATCTGTGTGGCTGAGTCTAAAGACCCTCTGGTCCTCACTGCCTGGTTTTTCTCCAGATATCTACACAGCTTCTAGGTTTCTTTTTTTCATTTATTTGAGAAGCAGTCTCACTCTGTCGCCCAGTGGCAAAATCTCGGCTCACCGCAATCCCCGCCTCCTGGGTTCAAGCAATTCTCCTGCCTCAGACTCCCAAGTAGCTGGAATTACAGGCATGCGCCACCATGCCCAGCTAATTTTTGTGTTTTTAGTAGAGATGGGGTTTCACCATGTTGGCCAGATGGATCTCGAACTCTTGGCCTCAAGTAATCCACCCATCTCGGCCTCCCCAGGTGCTGGGATTACAGGCGTGAGCCACTGCGCCAGGCCCTGTGATTTTTTTTAACTTCAATCCACCTGCAATTTACTGTGACGGGAGCTAGCAGGCTGGATTCCTACCCACCTCACCCCCAGTTCCTGGGCTGATAATTAACCAATCGCCTCCTCGGGATTTACTGCAGGATCCGTTCCCTCCTCCTCTACGGGAAGTGCTCAGTCCTGCGGGACCCAGGGCCAGCTCTGACCCAGCAGTTCTGACCCATTGAGTGGGCTTCCCTGTCCCCCACCCCAAACTGCCCTTCACAGGGGAGGCAGCCCCTCCTCACCTTCTTCTTCAGAACCTTGCTGGCTCTCTCCCTTTGGTTCCCCCACTGAATGCTTCCTTCTCAAAGTCCAAGGGCAGTCATTTCAAGTGCACATAAAGACCCAGGCAGGGAGCCCAGTCCTGAGCGACTGATGCCCACTCTTTCATCCTTGGTTCACCAACAAAGAGGACGGAAAAGTCTCTCTTCTGATGCCCACTCTTTCATCCTTGGTTCACCAACAAAGAGGACAGAAAAGTCTCTTCTCCTGGTGCTTGTTCCCCTTTAAGTCTTACTGATTCACACAAAACCAAGTGCTTCCCTCCTGAAATGCCCCTTTTAAGTGACAGTGGAGGTTATCTGAGTGGTCCTGCAATTAACATGAAGTGGGCGCTACACGGAGCGGCTCTGAGGTCTGGGCAGAGAAAGTTACGAGCAGACGGCGAGATCAGAGCCTGGGCACAATTAGGTGGGAATTGGACAGGGTGAACTGCAGGCCAGCTGCCCTCCCTGAGCACTCGAGTTGCAGGCTTTTGGGCCACTCTTGGCTTGGCCTCTGTGTTTGTGAAACTGGCTCGTCCACAAGCCCAGGAGGGCTGCACTTCCACGGCAGAGTGGAGCTGTAGTGGGTCACCCTGCCACCCGTTCCTCCAGTGTCCGCAGGAAGGAAAGGAAAAGCTTTTGCTCACTGGTGGTGGGGAGGGGAGGGTCGCTTATGGTCTGCACCTGCTATCGGCAAAATGGACTTTTCTCCTAAAAGCTGCACGGTGAGAGGCCAGTACCCTGTGCTGCCTGGAGCCCCGGCCCATGTCGCCGGGTGAGTGGGTTCACTCTGGGCTAATCCGTCACGCAGAATGAGAGAAGAGGCCATGTGGAGACGGAAGCAGAGGTGAGTGGTTCCTCTGTGAACCCAGGAACAAGGCTGCCCACAGCTACCAGCGGCTGCGGGAGAAGGAGGGCGCGACCCTGCGGCACTGTAATGGGTAATAGTAGGCGCCAACTTGACTGGATTGAAGGATGCCTGGAGAACTGGTGAAGTATTGCTTCTGGGTGTGTCTATGAGGGTGCTGCCAGGAGACTGGCATTTGAGTCAGTGGACTGGGAGGGCAACACCCACTCTCAATGTGGGTGGGCGGCATCCAACTGGCTGCCAGTGTGGCTGGGGCGAAGCAGGCAGAAGCGGGTGGGAGAAGCAGTTTTCCCGGGTCTTCTGGCTTTCATCTTTCTCCCATGCTGGACGCTTCCTGCCAGTTGTCCTGCCCTTGGACATCAGATTCCAGGTTCTTTGGCCTTTAGACTCTGGGAATTATTAGTGGTTTGCTGGGGGCTCTGGAGCCTCTGGCCACAGGCTGAAGTCTGCACTGTCGGCTTCCCTGCTTTTGAGGCTTTTGGACTCGGACTGAGCCACTACTGGCTTCTTTCTTGCCCAGCCTGCAGCCGGCCTATCGTAAGACTTCGCCTTGTGAGCCCGAGGCCAATTGGGAATCAACTCCCTTTCATGTACATGCATCCTATTGGTTCCATCCCTCTGGAGAACCCTGACTCATGAAGACACCTTCGTTTTGGACCTCCAGCCCCAGACTGCGGGAGAGTGAGTTTCTGTGGTTTAAGCCACAGGTTAGTGGTGCTCCGTTCTGCAGCCCCAGAAGGCTCACATCGTGTGTCCTCAGAGAAGGCGGCCAGGGTGGGCTGGGGTGTGGACAGGATCTCTGTGCTGCAACCCTCCCTGGCACCATACTCCACAGATGACCCCAGTGTGGCCACCTCCAGCCACACTTTCCTGAGTCCCAGCCCAGGCCAAACTGCCTATTCACTCACACCCACCTGCCCTAAGCACACAGCCCACAGCCGCCTAGGCTCCCCATGTCCTGGTGTCCCCAACCTCGTCCTCAGGGTCTCCCAGACACTGGCTGGACTCTCCCGTGCCTGCCACATCCTCGGTGCTCGTGGCATCTCTGCACTGACCTCCCAGGGAGTATGAACAAATGCCTCCTCCTCCAGGAAGTCCTCTGGGATCTCCAGGCAACCTCCAGGTCTTCCTAGCAGCGGCCTACTGATCTCCTGGAGCCTAGTTCCCTCCACACCCCTCTCTTCAGTCACTCAGGAGCTTGTCCTGCATCCCCACCTGTGTCAGCCCCACGAGGAATGGGAGTCCAGACCCATTCTTGCCACATGACGCGGGGGCGGGAGGAGTGGCTGACATGCACAGAACTTCTTGATGGTCTAGAGAGCAGACCACAGGAGTAGAAGGAGGGGCAGGTGACCTGAGGTCGCTCCAGGAGATGGAGGAGCCGGACGTCCAGCAGAGGTTGACACGTGAGGCCACGTGGCAGGTGGGTGTGGAACGCAAAGGTAGCTCCAGGGCCACTGCTCCTGATGACGAGGCAGCCTCCACGCAGCTCTCTCGCAGTGACACACGTCCATGAACCCCCTGCCACCGTGCAGTCATCGTACTGGCTTTACAGGGAGGGAACCGAGGTACAGAGAGGGTGGTACAGAGGCAGAGAGAGCAGAGGGGCTGGGACTGAACCAGCACGGAGTGGCCTTGGGTGTCCCATCATGCTGGAGATGCCTGCTGGAGGCGGAGGCCACCTGTCATGGGGACAGACTGCAAGCAGCACGGGGCTGGCCAGGCAATAGCATGTGACAGGCCATCAGGGGCTCTGTGTGGAGGCCCGCAGTGGGGACAGGCCCTGTATGCTTCTACCCACCCCCAAGACACTCCCTGTGTGGGACAAACTCCAGGGCCACCAAGGCACCCCAGACACCTCCCCTTCCACTGTGAAATACAACAATTACAAAAGCATCTGAATCACCCATTTTGTAAGAATTAGAAAAGCACCACAAAGAGAAACAAGGGAAGTAAGCTAAGTGTCCTCTGGAAAGGGCCCCCCCCCATGGGTGAACGTTGGAAAGACAGAGACCCAAGTAGGGATGGGGCTGAAAGAGCTTCCGGGGTTCACGGAGACTATTGCAGCCAATAGGAACACTGTGTGCAGCTAAAAACACACACCCTGGCACTACATGCGGAATGCGGCCGCTCCACTCTGGATGCAGGCAGGCTGGGGCCTCAGGCCAGCGAACCCTGAGCCTTGATAAAAGTCACGCAGCCAGGCAGACACAGACAGCATTCACTGGGCAGCCGCCACACAGGGAAAGGCCCGGAGGGCACTTCCCGCCTCAGACAGCCCTAGTCAAAGCCTCATCCCCGCACCAGTGAAAGCATTTCTGTGACCCTGCCCTCGGGCGCCAAAAAGAGCCGGCTCCGTAGGACGTGCCTTCCCTCCTCTCTCTTTGCTTTTAAAAGTAACAAAGGGCCCCTTGAGGGACTAGTCCCGAGGGGGCCACTCACCCTGTTAAAGCGCTTGGCTTGGAAGAGATGGCCGTTGGCACGGTACAGCTTCCTCCATCTTCTGGCTCCCCGGCGGTAGATGGATTCTGGAAAGGACAGGAGAAAGGCGTAAAGAAACAGAGTGGCAGCCACGAGTCCACGCAGGGTGCAGCTGCGACAGGCCACTCTCGTCCAGGTGGTGGTGGCTGCAGCATCCTCCCAGGCAGGGAAGGTAGGGCTGGAATGACAGCCTCCCGGTGGCCGCTCTCTGCCCCTCCTCACATGATCCTCATGGTGTCACGGCCTTGGCGGCTGGAGACAGCGGCCCAGGTGAGGATGGAGCCAGGTGTCCTTGCAGGGCAGACAAGATCCACCACTGGACGGCCGCTGGCTGACAGTGGAGCGGTGAAGTCGCCCCAGGCCTGGCAGGCTGGGCTGTTTGCCCCCGCCTGTTTTCCTTTCCACCCTCTCCTCCCCAGGCAGCCCCGTGAAAAACAGGATTTTTTCCACACAGGGACAGTTCAAATGGGCCTCAATATTTACACATGACTGTCAGAGGAAGGAGAGCGGACGCCACACTGGAGCCTGAGCCAGGCTAAGATGCAGAGCGTCACTGACTTCACCTCAGGAACTCGCCAGACACAAGCGGCGCGAGGCCCAGGGCTCTCCAGTCGAGTTTCCTTTAACCTAATAAATCTCAGGGCAGGACAGCCAAACCAACCGTGCCCCCGTTTCCATTCGAAGTTACCAAAAACATCATCTTTATAACATGCATTTGACAGTCCAGCCCATGTGGACTGTGCCTCTTATGAAAAGTGCCAGCACCAAGCCTGTAACCAGACGGTGGGTCTTGTCCTTCTTCAAAACCGTGTCTCACTTTGCTTCTCCAAAACGCTTTGAAACGGATGTGTGTGTAAACAGAATCTTTGGAAACGTAACGTACAACGGGAAGCTTTGTGCTTTTATAAAATTCTATCATAAAAGCGACTTTCATGAACCAAATGAAAGTGCCACGAATATACTGAAGTGGAAATTGTAACGGAATGTTTTTAAAACAGGCAAATGACTAGCTCTGGCTGGAAACTGCTGAAATCAGGCCACACGGATGGTAAAACCTGCTTCTCTTCCTTTAAATATTCAGTGCGAGACCAACAAGACAGCGATCCTCCAGGAGCGCAGGTGAAACAGGCCTCACGGCGGCGGGTGGTTCGGCCCCCCCAGACCCCCAAGAAGGCTCAGCATCCCAGTACCCTGGGGCACGGTACGGGGTTTGACAGAGGCCTGGTGACACCAAAGGCCCCTCCGGCCACAGACGCGACTGCCAGCAAGCCCGAGGCCAGGCTGGGGCCGTGCAGCCTGTGCTCCCTCCGCATTCCACCCACCTGGGCGCCAGACCTGGACTCCACAAAAGGCGCAGACCCCCGGGGACGGCCACACTTTCGGCCCCTGCGCCCCTCAGCCCTGAGGAGGTCGGGTGAGCGCCCACGTGGCTCTGCCCACGACGACAGGGCGCATCCTGCCCTAACCAGCCCACAGCTGGTCCTGGCTCCAGGAGTCCGCAGGCCTGACTTTTCCCTTCGGGGGGCGCTCTGCCCGCCCAACAACCCTCTCTGAAGAGAAAAAGAGAAGCGTGTGAACCGGAGGAGACGGAGGCACCGTGGGACACGGAAACAGCGGCGCGCTGCTTGTTAGGGTGGGCCGGTGGCGAGTGGAGGGACGGACGCACAGCCAGGGGCGGAGCCGGAGCCGAGGGACGGACGCACAGCCGGGGGCGGAGCCGAGGGACGGACGCACAGCCGAGGGTGGAGCCGAAAAATGTGCGCACAGCCGGGGAGGTGGCAGAGTCTAGGGAAAGCACGCACAGCGGGGGGCGGAGCCGAGAGGCGCACGCACAGATGGGGGCGGAGCCGAGGGACGGACGCACAGCCGGGGGCGGAGCCGAGGGACGGACGCACAGCCGGGGGCGGAGCCGAGGGACGGACGCACAGCCGAGGGTGGAGCCGAAAAATGTGCGCACAGCCGGGGAGGTGGCAGAGTCTAGGGAAAGCACGCACAGCGGGGGGCGGAGCCGAGAGGCGCACGCACAGATGGGGGCGGAGCCAAGGAATGGGCGCACAGCCGGGGGGCGGAGTCGAGAGATGGACGCACGGGGTTTGGGGGAACCGAAGGACGGATGCACAGCTGGGGGCGGTGCCAAGAGGCGGGCGCGCAGCTGGAGGGCGGAGCTGAAGGACGGACGCACAGCTGGGGGGTGGAGCTGAGAGAAGGACGCACAGCTGGGGGGTGGAGCTGAGAGAAGGACGCACAGCTGGAGGGCGGAGCTGCTGGAAGGTGGAGCTGAAGGACGGACTTGCAGCTGGTGGGTGGAGCTGAGAGAAGGACGCACAGCTGGAGAGCGGAGCTGAGAAGGACGCACGGCTGGGGGTGGAGCTGAGAGAAGGACGCACAGCTGGAGGGATGGAGCTGAGGAACCGACGCGCAGCTGGGGGTGGAGCTGAGAGAAGGACTCACAGCTGGGGGATGGAGCTGAGGAACGGACGCGCAGCTGGGGGTGGAGCTGAGAAGGACGCACAGCTGGGGGTGGAGCTGAGAGAAGGACTCACAGCTGGGGGATGGAGCTGAGGAACGGACGCGCAGCTGGGGGTGGAGCTGAGAAGGACGCACAGCTGGGGGTGGAGCTGAAGGACGGACGCACAGCTGGAGGGCGGAGCTGCTGGAAGGTGGAGCTGAAGGACGGACTCGCAGCTGGAGGGTGGAGCTGAGAGAAGGACTCACAGCTGGGGGATGGAGCTGAGGAACAGATGCGCAGCTGGGGGTGGAGCTGAGAAGGACGCACAGCTGGGGGTGGAGCTGAGGAACGGACGCGCAGCTGGGGGATGGAGCTGAGAAACGGACGCGCAGCTGCGGGTGGAGCTGAGAAGGACGCACAGCTGGGGGTGGAACTGAGAGAAGGACTCACAGCTGGGGGATGGAGCTGAGGAACAGACGCGCAGCTGGGGGTGGAGCTGAGGGCCGGACGCACAGCCAAGGGGGCGGAACCAAGGGACAGACGAGCAACTGATGGCAGAGACGAGGGACAGACGGACAACTGCGGGCTGAGCTAAAGGCTGGACGCACAGCTGTGGGGCGGAGCCGAGGGATGGACGCACAGCCGGGGGCGGAGTCGAGGGAATGGACGCACAGCCACGGACAGAGCCCAGGAAGGGATGCACAGCTGGGGGGCGGAGCCAAGGGGCGGGCGCGCAGCTGGAGGGTGGAGCCGAGGGACGGAAGCACAGTCGAGGGGTCGGAGCCGAGGGATGGACAAGCAGCTGTGGGCAGAACCGAGGGGCGGATGCACAGCTGGGAGGTGGAGCCAAGGGACGGACACACAGCTGGGGGGCGGAGCTGAGCGACGGACACATAGCTGAGGGGCGGAGCCCAGGGACGGATGGAAGCTGGCTAGAGCAAGGCCACAAGGGACCCACGCCCAGTGCGCCTGGGAAACCCTGAAAATGCGCCAACTGGACACCCTTCAAGTTCAATCAGTAAAGAGAGTGACGTCCTAGCAGACGCCAGGGCTCATCAGGGAGCCCCCAGCAAGCTGAACAAACTCTCCCACAGGACACAACACACAGCCCGGCGTCCCCAGTTTCCACCGGGACAAACTGAAGTGTCCCCTAAATTCACGTGGGGAGCCCTAGCTCCCAATGTGGCTGTATTTGGAGATGGGGACCCCACGCCTCCAGAACTTGAGAAAATAAGTTCCTGTCGTGTGTAAGTCACCCTGTCTGTGGGGTTCTGTCACAGCGGTCCAGGCGGGGACTGACCCCGCTTCCCACCACACACACACTCGGTCCCTCGGAGACTAAGGATGGAAACGTGGGCAGCAAAGCGGCAAAACATTTTAGAAGGAATTACGGAAGATCTTAGTCACCCTGAGTCACCTGCACACGTGAGAGACAAAGGGCCCATGGCTAGGGACGCTGGACTGAAAAATCCACGAGGAAAATGGAGTCAAAATAGGAACAGAAGACCAGAGCAGGCGTCTCGCTCGAGAGACACAAGCATCTCAGCCCGGAGAACCATCGGAGCAACCTGCAAGGCTGCCCAGGCGTCTCCTACACTGTGGGCTCGGCACAAATCAATCCCCCGCAGCCCCAAATACCTTCGAGGCCCAGGAGTGCACCGGGGAAATGGCTTATTCTCTGGCAGAGCCTCGCAGCTCAGAAACGAGGACCGTTTGCTCCCCCTAGGGCCCGGCAGCCCCACTGCTGCTCTGGGAAAGCTCAGAAACACTGGCTCCTGGGCTCGGGAGCATTCAAGAATGTCTGATGACCCCAAGGTCTGTGGACAAGAGAATGCATAAATAAACTGATGTGTGGGTGTCCAATGGAAGATACAGCCAGTGCGAAGCCCACCTCAGCCACGTGCAGTGGTCTAGAGGTGTCTTAGAAACACCAAAAATCAAACCCTAGGGTGACAGAAACATGGTGCCATTGCTGTAAAACCAAACAAGTAAAAAAAAAAAAAAAAACCCCAATAGGCCGGGCGCAGTGGCTCATGCCTGTAATCCCAGCACTTTGGGAGGCTGAGGTGGGTGGATCACGAGGTCAGGAGATGGAGACCATCCTGGCTAACACGGTGAAACCCCGTCTCTACTAAAAATGTAAAAAATGAGCTGGGCGTGGTAGTGGGCACCTGCAGTCCCAGCTACTTGGGAGGCTGAGGCAGGAGAATGGTGTGAACCTGCGAGGCAGTGCTTGCAGTGAGCCGAGATTGCACCACTGCACTCCAGCCTGGACAACACAAGGAGACTCTCTCAAAAACAAAAGCAACATCTTGTTTTAGAATACACAGTCATGTGACAAAAATGTTCTAGTAAGCAAATAACCAATCCAATTTCAGGCTGGCAGCTGTAACCAACCCAGTTTCAGGCTGGCAGCGGTGGGGGACAGGCTGCGGCTGGCTAGGGCTTAAGTCCTCCCCCTGGCTGGCTGCTGGGGGCAGTGTCCATCGATTACCACGCTTTATATTGCTGGGAGTCCTGCGCTCCTAGCGTGTGTCAAAAGGTATGTTGAATAACAATAGAACTAAATGACCTGGGGGCACAGGAACAGAGAGGATA